CGGCATTCGGGGACCCCGGCGGCGTTCCTTGGCATGGGCTCAGGGAGCGGGGTTGGGGCCGCGCGTCCCGGGGAATCACTTTGTATAATCAATAAATTATTTAACGTGTCCCGGTCGGAGCCCTGGCTTCTAAGGTTGCACCGTGTATTTCTTCCATATCAAAACCGGGGGAATGTGCCCTGCAGGAGAGAGGAAGGGTGGGCCCTCCTTGGCCCCTGTACGTGGTTCAGTTTTTGTACCCTGCTGGGCCCCTACCTCTGGTCCAGGGGCGCCTGGATTTGGCGCAGGTCGGGCTTGGCGGCAGTCTGGTGGCATCCGGGCCCGCCGCAGCCCGTGCTCTTCAGTGTAGAGCTTGAGGGCCCCGCGCTCGGAGCATTTCAGAACTCGCAGGACCGAGAGCCAGGTGGGGAGACAGCCTGGAGGCGCTCGTGGGAAAATGCCCCTGCGGGTCGGAATGAAGGAGACTCCGTGGCAACACCGATCCGCAGAGAGAGCCGCGAGCTTTTTTGGGAGGGGGACCCGGCGGGCAACGGAGCCCTGGGTAGCCGCAGCAGGTATGCCCCTTCACCCAGTTCCATCTCTTGCTTGAGCGTCTTCTGCGGCTGGAACGAACCCTCGTCACCCCCGGCTGCTCAGGGCTGCTCTACTCATCCTTGGCAGGGGCCCCCTGCGCTGGCTCGGATGAATGCGGTTTGGGGCAAATTTAAACACACCTAAGGTTCCTAGAAGAGATAGAAAACCCGCTTGCCCGCCGTCTCCATCGTACTTGTACTTTTGACAACCCTAGCGCAGTAAAGGAGCGCCCCATCTTTCCCGGAGCTCGCCGGCCAGAGCGGCTTCAGGACCAAGTTTGGCGCTGCTGCTGGCCATGCAATCCAAGCGGAGGTATTTTAACATTATTTGAAAAAATCTTTTAGCCATAGTAGCTAAGTATTTTGAAAGTACCTATTAAATGCATACCCAGTGAAACCCGGTTTGAAACTCTTCTGGATAGTCGACCTTCAGCTACTGTTTTGTTGGTTTAAAAAAAAAAAATGATTGGCAGAACACACTATTTCACACTCAAACGCCACAGTTCTGCCCACGGAGGGAATGGCTCACAAATCTCCACGTAGAGCGACCCTGGAATTTCCTCTAAGCATTTTATTCTCCATTGCTCAGGGCTGGTTTCTTGAGAGGACGCACAACGCGTAGCTGTGTGTAGGAAGGCAGGGGCTGTAACTTCCAGTCCTTTCAGGGGTCGCTGCTGGATAACCGCTCCTGATAAACGGTCATCATAGTTGCCCCCTTGGGCAAGGACTGGAAGTCCCACCACGGTGGAGGCTTGAGGATGGCCTCTTTCCTTACAGGGACATAAACCCATGTAGTTAAAGCCGTGATCCCAGGGTAACAAAAACCTCTCCACTCTTTTCAGAGACTTTCTGTGCCTGGTGTGCCAAACTGGCATTTTAATGGGCATAACTATTGAGTTTTAATTTCAAACATTAAGTGTAAAGAATTATCACAATTATAAAATTTCTCTTGGAAGGCATTTTTGAAAATGTTGAGAAAAATGTAAAAGGGTTAAGTGTTTTTTTTCCCCCCACACGGCTGTACCACCAATTAAAAACACAAAAACAACTCTTCTTTTGAACTACTCGCTGGTTTTCCTAAAAAGGGAGCAAGATCTTCTTTATAAAAAGTGCAGAACAATGTTATTTCTGTGAGTGAAACATTCGCTCAGCTCATGAGCAGAGGAGTTTCCAGTGTTAAAGTTTTCAGGAAAGTAAACCATTTGTATAATCCCAGTGTAAAACTTTGAGGGGTAAATCCTCTTTTATTGATACTACAATCAAAGATCCAAAAGCTTATCTTTCTCCTCCCAACTAATGACTTTTTTTTTAATTGTGATACAATGAAATTCCAAGGTGTCTAATGAGCTTGATCTCAAATAACAGGGTACAAAGGAAGACACTCCTATTACTTAAGCATTTCAAAGGTGATGGGAAAATGGAAAGGGAGAAAAACAAAGCAAACGCAGAACTATTTTCACCTTGATCAATTTTATTGCTTAGGAACCGGAGCAGTCACTTCTAAAGACCTTCAGAATGACCAACAGCTGAAACCCCGATAAACAGAATCACCCTGGGGTGGAACTGCGAGGTGCCATGTAGACAGAGCAGAGTGACCACAGCACTTGCACAGACCCCGATGGTATTGTCAAGAACACAGATTCTGTAAGCGGACGCCAAATCACTTGCAATGGTAGTGATTTATATAAAAAAACAAACATCGATCTAATGCCTTCACCCAGTCCAGGAACTCTGTAGTGTTCTAAAGTAAATCAATAAAACGTACATTTGTGTTTCATCAACAGACTCTCTAATCACCTTTTAATGCTGTACTTAGTGCTAGGAGAAAAATATTTGCAACAAGGTTATTACATAGTTGTTTGTAGCAGAGCAACCAAAGAAATGTACAGGTTTTGTTTCTCTTGAATAATTTTATATACAGCCCATGTTAAAAGCATTTTCTATCGGAAGCAGACTAGGCTATTTCTATTTCTCCCATGATATTATTGTTTTAATGTAGAATACTTGGCACCATAAAACGGTAACAAAAGACAGACAAAACGGTTTACAAAATTCTTAAAAGGTACACCCAGGCTAGCTATAAACTTCACATTCAGTTCTTAATATTACACAGAAAAAAAGGCATAGGAGTAACAAACTGCTAGTATAGATGTACTGTAGGGTCGAGTCCTACCCATGATGGCACTGCTAGGTCGTCTTTGTTTTATAAATCTGTGTTGACGTACACATAACTAAACTCCTAGACTCCAATTCTACTTGCTGATATGACACTCTCGTGCATTCATACTGGAAAGTATATTTAGCATAAGTTTTGGTACGATTTATAAATTATTTTTAAAAAGTATATATTTATATATATTTATATATATAAAAATGGAAAGCAGCTGCAGTGTGATTCAAAAACCATGTAACATGGCAGCAGAGTAAATAACACGAAAGGGAGGGGAGCCATCAGAAGTGAAAACGAACGATGGCCCTCACTGTGCCAGCAGTATTCACACTGCCCGGGTCAGCAAACGGAGCTCCTAGCTCAGTTTCCCCAACCCTCTGGGCACACCTCCAACAAGCAGAGAGGGATGTTTGACACCTCTGGGTTTTCAATGCTGAAGAAGCCCCTCCACTGACAATCATTAAAAATTGAAAACTGTGAAATCTAAAATACAGAATCTCTTTGCTGTCTATTAGAGTTTTGGCAACAGGACTGTGACTTGTTTTTAAAAAACCCCAATATTCTACTTAATGTCACATGAACAGACAAGACAGTGAGGTATGTGAGGCTTTTCCGGAATGGTCCGGAGGCTGAAGCGAAGTGTGGGGCCGGCCATCTAGCAGGTGGCGCTCGGGTGGGTTTTTCGATGCAGCTGTTAAGAGTACGTATTTCAGTATACTGCTACAGGGAGGTCTCTCGAAGGATCCTCTCGTTTCGCTGGCATCTCTTTCCTGTTGTGGAATTAGTAATTTGTTACAGGAACAAACACACCAAGAAAAGCTGCAGAAAAGGTGAACTAAAGGGAAGGAGTCATATTTACCACCACGTCACTGCACGACACAACACTTGTGCACATGTGCATGAGGTTTACCTGCCCCAGGCGTCATTCGGAAGGCCAGGAACACGGGCTGCAGCGGGAGAAGAGAAGGGGGTGTCAGTGCAGCACTGGCAGGACACGCAGCCCAGACACGCCAGCCCTCCTGTTGGACCCCTGGACCCTCGTGTCTCGGGAAAGCCGAACCAACTGTGTGCGCAGTCGCATGCACGGAGCGCGGCCCACGCTCCCAGCTGTTGTGGAACGGGATCCCGGGGACTGGGCCACAAGAGGCTCAAGACAGCACCTTCACACTTTGTAAGATGTTTCCAGATGAAATTAGCGTAAAGACTGATTTAAGAACTGCTAAGTGAGTCTCAAAGTGGGAGAGGAAAGAGCGCCCATAACTCAGCTCTGCCCTCACTGGGTGCAGGGGGTCCAGCTTATTAGGGCTCGCTCAGTGGTCACGGTTCAGAAGCCTTGAGCTTGGAAGAAGTGACTTCATTTAATTTGGCTGAAAATGAGACATGATCTGTCACCTCACATAACCCTTCAGCGAGGACTGCTGGGCCGCTGGGTTTTAGGGACAGTCACAGGTGTAAATAATCCTGAGCAATCAGTGCCTTTCCCCCTCAGGCATCGGGTCTGCGACACCTTCACCCTATTCTGCATCGGCAGTGGTGGGCTCGGCTTAGGAGGTACTGACATATTTCAAATGCATGTGCAAAAATGACCTTCAGAAATAAGCTGGAGCAGACAAAAATGCTTATATAAATAGTAAAATCATGTATTTTATTCTAGTGTGACTAATCATTTCTGCCTTCTTGCTACCTCCCTACCTATTTTTTGGTGTATTAAAATTAAATGAAAACAAACCAACTTGGGCCTTCTGGAAAGCCAGACTAAGGAGACACAGAAAGGCCGCAAAGGGAGAAACTGAGCCTGCTGCCCATTGCCCACTGCCCATCACCTGCCCCCTGGCCATCCAGCCCCTCTGGTCCAGTCCCTTAACCACAGCTCAGTTACGTCACCTTGTGGTCTCCCATGCAGACGTTGGGCCCGATGTGGTCGTAGGTGACAACCTTTTCCTCGCTCTCCGACTAGGAAAAAGAGAGAGAAGCCGGTGTGGGGAGGCTGAGGGCATGCCAGGGCCCACTTGAGAGGTGACAGGTAGAAACTTAGGGGTTTCCTGGGGAGCAGAAAGGTGGGGACAGTCCCTGTGAATGAACCACCTGTGAACTGCCCTAATTCCTGCAGGGCGCTGGCTGGATCAGAGTGGCTGGTGCAACGTGGGACCCCAAGAAAGCATGGCCAGGAGGGGTTTGGTGGTCCTGGCGACACCTCAGAACCTTGGCCCCAGCTCTTCCGGCCAAGAAGGATCTTGCTTTGAGAAGGACAGAGGTGACATGAAGGGTCCAAGGAATGTTGGCACCCCCACCCCAAACTCTCCTCTCCCTGACTCTGACACATGCTCCTGGGTATTGGGAGAGGCATAGCAATTAGTGTAATTCCGAACTTTCTTTTCAAGTGTGCCCCCTCTGACTGAAGCAGCTCATCTATTTCCCATTTTCCCTATTTACATTTGTTTTTGACAGCCTGTTCTATTAACCCAGAACTCTCTGTTCAAACGAGAGCAGACGACACTGGATTCCACACCGCTACACAAAGCAATTTGTGCATATTAATTAACTCCACTGTGTGCACACTTCCTTCACTGCACCACCATGCTCAGAGTCTGGCAGATGCTTTTATTTTGGGCACAACGGAAAGGGTTTGTTGCTGGTAATCAGTCAGCTCTGACCTGGCTGGAATTTTACATCCGCAGCTGAAGCATCCGACACTATAAAGTTAAAACTGAATTATCTTTAATGCAGTAGGAAGCTTAAGGTCAGATTTACTTTCCAGCATGGTCGCCTGCCAGAAAGTATAAAAACATAACCTTCGGCACCGTATGCATGAGCACCTTCCAATCTTTCACGAGCGGAACGCCGCCTCGGCGGAAGTGGAGAAACATTCATCAAACGCAGCGTGGTAATTTACAAAGGCAGCATAAAATTGTGGATTTTCAACTGCATAATCTTTGGACAGATAAACAAATTACAGCAAGGCGCGGGCAGAACGCAGGCACACCTCGCTGAGCATTCATCACCGAGGCTCCCAGGCAGCACGCAGCCCGCACCATGCCGGCTTTGGCGTTTTAGGGCTCAGGAAGCAGAACGGAACATGATGACGAGGCAGCGGAGCATGGCATGATGGATGATGCTGTGGACGCTGCTCTTGGCCTGTCTGCTCGGCCTGTAGTGCCCGCCACCCCAGAGGAAGGGTCTGTCCAGACTCCAATCACAGGAGACAGTGACTTCCTCCAGCGGCCTCCAGGCGTGCTGTGTCCTCAGCTTTAATAAAAGCAGACCTGTTTCCCACTGTGAGTTTAAAGATCAAATCTCAGGTGCAGAGAACTAGAGATGATGTGAATGAACGTAAAATAGACTAAAATGCAGCCTTCCTCCGGGCTGTCTAAAGCCCCAGCCATAGAAGTACACCATATGCTGTCTTAGGAAATTTACTGCAAAATGCAGTTTTAGTGGGCTTAGCCATGTTCCTGGTGGATGACCTCTGTCTCCCTCTCCACTCAAGCCCTGCAGAGCCTCTGGTTCCGACCAGCAGCACCCGCACTATGCCTGACCCTTGCTCAGAGCTAGCAGGTGAGTGCCCACCATGTAACTACTGCCAGCCTAATCTGCACATTATCGGCTCCATGCAGCCGATGAGCAAGTTTAGGTCAGGGGGCAGGTGTGTGTCTGAGGCTGGGCTCAGGTTGAGCCCACCCCTGCGTGGGTCAGAGAACTTGCAGCCAATGATAAGACATAGCTTTATTAGAGGAGGCCAGTGAGGAAGTGGCCTTTCCTCAGTGATAGGCCCAGGATAAGAGGGTGTCACAACCAGGCTCAGGCCAGAAGATAGGGTCAGTGAGGCTGCCCTGCCCAGCCCCAACCCCAACAGACCCAAGGGGCTCTGGCTGAGGGTCTCCTGCCTCCAGCCCTGGGTGTCCACCTTGTAGGTTCCTCCCCACAGCCAGGGCTGAGCACTGGCTGTTCCTAGAGTGGTCTAGGGTATGTGGAAGAGCAGCATCCACCTTGTAGGTTCCTCCCCACAGTCAGGGATGAGCACTGGCTGTGCCTAGAGTGGTCTAGGGTATGTGGAAGAGCAGTGATGCACCCAGACCTGGGAGACAGTGCGATATGGAGGCAATGCAGAGCAGGGGAAGGGCGGCTCGTGGTGACAGGGCACGTGGGTGGCTGGGGAAGGCGTGCATCCCGCTATAGGAGCATGAGTGGCACTCTGACCTTCCTGATCGGGGCTGCTCTGATCGCAGTGTAGTTTGCCATCCCCAGGGAGAGCTCCCGCAGTGCAGGGCTCACGGAGGGCCCACGGTCTATGCCATCTAGCACAGGAACACACATGGAGGCAGCCAGGGTGACTGGGACCTAACACGGTGAGGTTGGGGGCTGAGGCAGTGGGACCTGGCAGACAGAACCCACAGGACCCCAGGCCTGCCGGGGGCCACCAGCATCTCCTGCCTCCTCTTAGCTGCCAGCACACGTCAAGGTCAGAGACATATAGTTCTGGACACTGAGTATCAAACTGCTGTTTCCTGTGTGGAGATGTGTATTTCGATAGATTTTTTTTCACTGGTAAGGGTGATAAAATCAGTTCAGATATTGATTCTTGGGAGAAAAAACACTCCTTTTATGTTAAAATGTAAGAACTGGAAAATCACATGAAATCTGAAAATGTCCCGACTTCTAGTGTATATGTTATCTCCTGACAACGTGGCCTATTCATTTTTAGTGTAACAGACCAAATATAAATCTGGCTCTTAAGAAAGAAACTACAGACATTTCTATCATGCTTTAATAGCCTATGAGCTTTTTTAATGGACAAGAACCTTTACTTCCCCAGGACACACTAAACTATGATTTTAAAAACATTACCTGACCACCATTTATGTACGATTCCAACTCAGACAACACTGGATGCTCACGGAAGCCCAGAGATTCTGCTCCACCTACACTCGGCTCAGGCCTGAACACCGGCTTGGAGGGGACTGAGGCTTCCTTAGGTTCAGCTCACCACAGGACGAGGTCAGGCTAGACCTGGGGAAATCTCCTAGACTGGAGATTGCCCCACCCAGCCCTGAGGGCCAGCGCCCCCAGAACCAGGGCAGATGCTAACCTGGTGCTGTGTCCCTGTGTGGCTGGTCCTGGGGTGGCTCCTACTTACTTACCCTCAGCACCAGCTCCTTGGCAGACGGGGACATGAGGATGCGGTCGCACCATGCAGGGCACCGGGTGTTCATGTACTGCTCGCCTTGGCTGGAGTCCTCGCTGTATGGGTAGCTGGGGAGACATGAAGGCAGCGGGTCAGATGGTTCCCTGGCTCCAGCCATCTTCCACTCTCCAAGGGAAAGGCTGTGCAGATTCTCTCCCGATACACCTTAGACTGGCCAATGCTATCCAGGGAAGAAATGCACATACAGAAGTTTGTAACATCTAAAGCCAAATTCACAATTAGGCTTTCACATTAAACTTAGGGTTATTTTTTTTTTTTTTTACGAGTAACTAAATTTTAGTTCTAACTCAGTATCTTCAGATAAATATTCCTTTAAAGAATAAATCCTTTCTTTTTTTTTCTTTCTCTTTTTCTTGTTTTACTTCTGAACATGGTCTACAGCCAGAGATCCCCAACCTCCAGGGGACCAGTGCCAGTCCGTGGCCTGTTGGGGGCTGAGGACCTGTCAGCCTGCTGGGGCCACACAGCAGGGGGTGAGTGGGGGCCAGTGAGGCTGTGTTTGCAGCTGCTCCCCATCACTGCACTGCCGTCCTAGGGGCTTGGTCTCCTGTTGGATCAGCAGCAGTACTGGATTCTCATGGGAGTGCAGACACTGTTGTTGGGTGATTGTTTCAGTGTATTTTGCAAAGTGGCAGTGGAGAAAATGGGGTGCATGGTGGGTGTGGTGCTTTTGGGTCATCTCAGGACCAAACCCCTGTCCTCTTAACCCTAGTTATAGAGGGACTGTCTTCCTCAACAGTCCCTGGTATTGAAAGGTTGGGGACCACTGGTCTAAATACAGCACAGCGAAAATCTGCATGAAGAAAATGGCATCAGGATGTTACCTTGCTCTGGTAATGTCATGTGCCCAGCTCAGCCAAGGCCCCACCCCCACCCCCATCCCAAGGACTCGGGCTATTTCACTGCTTGAAGTGCCTGCGATGCAGGTAACCTGGATGCCTTCCCTAATCAGCAGGCCTCCCTGCGTGAGTCTACAGACAGCTCCGGGCGCAACCTGGCCAGATGCACATCTTCCCCTCAATCAGCTCCAGCCGCTGCTGTTCTTATTTCAGGAAGAGTCCGGGTGTTCAGGGCATGACCTTGGGGTCACGATTACAGTGAAGCATGACTGTAACTCGCTGATGCAGAGACTGCACCTTCATTGTCCTGGAGGACCGTCTGCTGTACCTCAGACCCCCACCTGTCCCCACACTGCCCATCCCAGCCCTGATGGCCTCACTGAGTCTCCCCATACTGCCATGGGGTTGGCTCTCTCACACAGCAGAAGCGATCCATGAACACAGGCTGAGCACGCACTCCTCACCGGCCCACACCAAGCCTCGTGGCTACAGCCACCAACCCCCTTCTGTGTCTGGAACACACCGGCACAGTCTTGCCTCCTAGGCTCTTCACCATCTTGGTGGGCCTACCCCAATCCACCATCCTGTTTAAGATGCAAACTCCACCCTAAATGGGCACTCCAATCAGAAGTGCACTGACTATAACAATGAATTAATTCACCTTATAATGAACTAACTTTGGGAAGAACCCTGAGCTGAGTTCTGCTGCAAACCCCTAAGTGTGGTGGCATCTCTGCCTATTCATCCTATCTTTCATGGCCTTCCACAGAGTCTAAAAATTTTCCTTATATGGGAACCAGCAGTTAGTGTAATGACTATGTCGCTGGACTCCCACGTAGTTGACCGCGGTTCGCGTCCCGGACCCGGTGGCTTAAAACTCATGCCGGGTGCGTGTGCTTGAGTGCCCAAGATCCCGAGAGGAAAATGAAGGAGAAGGGATTGCGGCATGACCATCCTCCCTGGGGGGTGATTTCTCACTTTCTGTCTCTATGTCTCTCTCCGTCTGGCGAGCGCACGCGCCTTATAGTGAAAACCTCTCAAAAAATTTTTTTCCTTATAAAAGTTTAATTTGCTTTTTCTTAGGTTAATTCCAAAATACCATACGGCATTTATTGTGAACGGCACTTAGTTCTCTTTTAAATTTTCCTGTTGGCTTCAGCTAGAAGGGAGGAATGCTATTGATTTTTCAGGTTGATCCTTTCATAGGCACCTGTCAGGTGTTGATTCTTTGGGCCTTCTGGGAGGTGGTCCCTGGGAGGGTCACCTGTAGGCCTGGCCCCTCCTTCCACTGTGGTGGCCAAACATCCTGAGGGAGACCTCAAGGCCTACCCATAGTCCCAGTGCCTCAATCATGGAAAAATGGCCAGTGACTTGTAGAACACAGACCCTGCTCTGACATAATGGTTCTGGACTCTCTGCCCTGTTCTCTAGAGTGACCAGACGTACTTTCATCAGAAGTCATGGCTTATGATCCCAGTCTTGCATAGGGAACTATTGCTTTACTTTACTTAAAGACTCAAATACAGTTTCTAACTAAATCTATCTAGTTCCTCCTTGTAAGAACATATTCTTAAGAGTGACAGAATACGAAATACCCTATAAAACCTTTTCAGAAAAAGCAGGGAGCCAATGGCCTATCCTGTTTCCGCACACTTAAAATGATGAGTGACCTTGTTTGAGTAGCTTTGTTTGCCTCAGCTGTGGATTACGGTGGGATGAAACCCACCCCACTGGGCTACATATTGGCTTGAACTCACATTCTAATCCACACATCGAGGATGGTACCGAGGCCAGGGAGACAGGCTCCCTGCAGTAAGATCCTGTGCAGCCCACGTGAGCTGCAGGATCGGGGCCCATGCAGATCTACCCTGAGCTTCCAAAGGACTTGGACATGGACATGCTGAGTCACACTCAACTAGAGAGAGTCCTCCAAGCTGGGGCCAACCATCTGGGGCAAAGGTCAGGGTGAGGGCGGCCACAGGGCTTCCACCACAGGCGGGGCTAGTGGTTTCCACGCTGTGATTCTCAGTGTTTTGCTGGACAGTTGTGCTGCAGTAGGAAGGTCTTTGCTATGACCAGGCAGCAGGAACATGTTTACTCACAGAGAAATCCACGCCCTCTCATCAGCTCAGCGTCAGTGCTGTTCAGTGTCTTCATAAAAACAGAATCTGCCCTCTACTGAGAGCAGCGGCAGGCTGCACTTTGAAGAACGCCATCTGGCTGGCTTTTCTGTGCTGGATGTGTACGTTTGTTCTCTCTGATGCAGGAGCACCGCTGGTGGGAGGGCTCACACACCAAGTGGCTCTGCTGTCCCCTGGCCTAGCTGCTCTGTTCCAATGAGGTACACAGCTAACGTACTGCCCAGTAAGAGCTGCACATAGGCTGGTTAAAAAGCATCACTTGGAAAGGCCAGTTCAGAAGGAAATAGGATTGATTCTGTGTGGTTTGAGACACCACCGTTTCACACCCAAGTACACCTCGGATATCACAGGAGCGGTCTGGGTGTCTCATCTGAGGCTGCACCAAGATGCTTACAGGATCCCTGTGGGGACACACTCTGGGGCCGAAGTTCAGTGTACATACTGAGTTCTTGGGTTTGAAACAGGACACTAAAGGTGATTTTAAGTAAGTCTTAAACGAACGGGCACTCACTCCCTGTGCACACTATGGAGTGAGAGAGAGAGCTCATGCTGAACCTCTCGGTCCTGGAGGAAGCCAAGTGTGCCAGGAGGCATGGGTGCTGCCCTCCTGTCCACAGAGACAAGATCGGACAGGCCCCAGTGATAAGCAACCAAGAATGGGGACAGCCCCAGCATGTGGGGACTTCCTATGCAGCCCCTCAACCCCAGTCTTCAAGCAGAAGGGATGTTCCCCATGACACCCTGACACCCAGAGAGATTCTGGTTTCCAGTGGGTCTGAGTAAGGCCAGGTTCCCACTCCTTCCCTTACCCAGGTGCACGAGGTACTGAGCGAGGGCAGTCCAAAGGAGGCACTGCTGAGCGGCAGGACGCCTGGGCCTGGACGCTGCTCGTCTACCAATGATTAATACCGGCAATGCTGTGCATGCACACTTATCTGAAAGCAAACCTGCACAGGGTGGGGAGGCAGGACAAGGCAGCCCTATCTCTGACCTATACAGCTCAAGGAATAATCGTGGTAATTAATGGCAGTGGTGATAAAATTAACAATCACGCACCTGTGCTTACTGGCCACGACACCTCCCTTCCTCTCTGCCCCTCGAGCCCCTTCCCTCAGGAAATGGGCAGCGGCCCCTTGGCTAGCCTTGCCATGACTGTTTGCCCACAGCCAGGCCAACTGCCTTGCTGACAAGGCTCAGCCTTAAGATCTGAGGGGCTGGGCTGGGTGGATAGTGTTGCCATGGGCCCCGCAGCTGACCACAGGACAGCAAAGCACAAAGCCTCACTGTGTTTGGCAGTCTGCAGGGCAGGGCTGATGGTGGGCGGGGCAAGGTCCACATCTTTGCTGTGATTCTGGGCCCTTTCCAAACCACAAGCAAACAGGGCAAGATGTTTGGGTCAGCCCCCTAAGTGCCATCCTCAGGAAGAAAGACAAAGTGGGGAAGTTCCCCAGCTCGCTCTCTAGGTAGGGTGTGAGCACAGGAAGGCCCCTCCTTTGACTCTCACCTGGTAAAGTTTTAACAATCCCCAATCACCACGTTGCTTTTGTGATGGGTGACACAGCTACTTCCAAAGTATCAAGGACAACTTAGTGTGTTACGGAGAAAAATGATTTTGACATGCCTCCATCAAAGTAACTGTATTATTCAATAACATTTCTACATTCATGTGGGGCTTGAAGTCACAGTAAATATCGGCTTCAAATACCTGGTTTCAAAAACACCAGCTGCTACTGATATTCCTGAAAAAGAAAAGAAACTAAAATCAAAGAAAAAGAACTGAGCAGTAAGAATGGCGGCAATCCTGAAACCATTCAGTGGAAGAACCTAGCAGCAGAAACGTCCTCAGAGTGAGTCCTGGAGGGGGGAAGTCAGGGGTGAGCAGGCCATCAGCTGGGCTTTTCCACAGTCATTGGTTCCCTGATTGCTCTCACCCTCAGCACCTGTCCCTGCCTATGTGTGTGGGTGACATCCAATCAGGGCTCAGGGGCCAGCCAGCCAGACGGAACTCCTCGCTCCCCTCCTGAACACCCAGGAGTGGCCTATCCTAGCAATCTCATCCTTCTTGTA